TCCACCTCCTCTAGGAGCTCTCCCAACCCCACTGCAGATGGAAGGTGCCCCCCTTCTCCCTCCTGAAGTCCCACCAGGGGCAGGGGCTGGGTGGCCTTTGACCCTGGGACTCACTATGCCCTGCTCATAGTAAATATTCTGAACTTGTAAACCACTGCCTCCTAGAGTCAGGTGAGCATAGACAGGTTTTCTGCCTCACACCCTACTGTCCCAGAGACCCTGTTATTCACCCACTGGTTCAGTAGTTGAGGGCCTCCTGTGTGCCAGGCTCAAGGCCACATACTGGTGACCGTGAGGGACTTAGTCTCTGCTCTGACAGAGGGACAGTTTAGCAGTTCTTCTGCGAGTCCATGGGAAGTAGCATCTTGGAGATGCCCTGCCCTGTCCATTTGGGGATGTCGCCCAGAATCATACAGCCCTCCCTCTGGGTGTCCACCTGGCCCTCACACCTGGCCCAGGCAGGGAGCTCCAGGAATGGAAATCTCAGGTGGCTCCCAGGAGGAAGTGAGGGGGCAGGGCTGGGGCTGGCCCTGTTCAGGTGGGCATGGGGAGGGGGAGCAGGGAACAGGGCCTGGAGGCTCACTGTCGGCCGGTAGGTAGAAGACCAGGTTGACCATGAAGGAGATGAGCACACAGGGCACCAAGATGTTGATGATGTAGAATAGGGGCTTGCGGCGGATGATGAGGTAGAAGGTGACGTCCTGGCGGCTGGGGCTGTCCAGAGGGGCTCTGGGGTCCACGTTGACCCTGGCCGGCCGGTGCACTATCTCCCACTCCCCGTTCTCTGAGGGCGGTACATGGACACCTTAGGGTCAGGCCAGGCCAAAGGGGCTAGGCAGGGCCTGGGGACAGAATGAGGGGCTGGGCGGGGCAAGCCAGTCCAGAGACGCGGCCGGCTGGGTGTTGTTCCCTGGGGCGTCAGGATGGAAGTTTCCGTCTTCCTTTGTGACTGATTTCTTTTTTATCTTTTCGGAAAAAGTAGAAGCTGAGGCCATACAGGGCTCAAATAAGGAGTATCTTTTGGCTGAAAAGATACACGAGCCAAAAATAGGTATTGCAGATTAAAGAGACCAAGTCAAACAAATGCTCTCAGATACTGAGCCTGTCTTCCTGAGTAACAAAAAAAAAAAACCTCCTGGACATTAATTGAGCCACTCCTCCTCGGCCTGGGCCTGGGGGATAACGAGCCAGTGACAGTAAAACTATCCCTGCCATGATGTGCCAGCCTGAGACAGTGAGACAGGGTCCCTTCTGATGGACGGGGTGAGCGGTAGGCCCCATGGAGAATCCGAGCCTGGGTACAGATCAGGGATGAGGATGTCAGGAGGGGTGGCAGACACCCCCCATCAGGATGACACAGCCCTCATGCCAACCACACCCCTGGGTTCACCAGGCACAGGAAACGCTAAACCCCTGTCAGCCACAGGCATCTCATGTGTGAGAAGCATGACTTCCGGGCCTGGGCAGGGGCGGGGGAGGGCACTGGCACCGTCTGTCTCTGCCTTTGGGATAGCTTTGCATTCAGGAAGTGTGAGTGTCTGTGTGCTTCTCTGTGGGCGGGCATGTGTCTGCCCCTCTGTGTCCAGCTGCGTGTGTGAGTAGCTGTGTATCGGTGTTCTAGGTATGTGTGTGTGCACGTGTGTATCTCTTGGGTGGGCAGTGCCAGTGTGTCTGTGTGTGTGTGTCTGAGGGACCTGCCCACCCACTGGTGGCTGCTCCCAGCACCTGTGAAGCCTTCAGGGTCAATGATGATCCACTCCACGGGGTAGGTGCGGTTCTCTTCGGCATCCTGCTTCAGGCTCAGGGTGATCTCTTTGGCCGTGTACTTGAGGGAACTGGGGAAGGCAATGGGCAGAGAGTGACACTCAGTCACTGGCTGGGGCCACAGAGCAGGGAAAGGTTAGTAAGGGAGGACCATTGTGGGGAAGGCAGCACTAATCCGGACAGGGCAGGGGCCTCTGTCTGGGGGTGCTTCAGTCACCTCCTTCAGCCCCTGGTAGGGTGCTTTGGGGTGAGGGATGGCTGGATAAATGGGAGCACCTGAACTTGAGGGAGCAGTTCTGCCAGTCGAAGGGGAAATAGGTGACAGAGATGGGGCAGGAGGAGCGGAAGATGGCAGGTGGCAGCCAGTACACAAAGCCGTAGTTGTAGACAAGCACGTTGCAGGAGTAGGAGATCTGGAAGAAGCCATCATTGCTGGGGAACAGGGACAAGAACCACAGTGAGCTCTGGCGACTCAGGACTGGCAGAGTTGGGGGATGCAGAGGAGGCTTAAGGAAAGGAGGCAGGGTGACAGAGAGGAGGTCAGGGAGGGCTTGGCTCAACTTGTTCTCCAGCACAATCTCTGGGAGCCACACCATGTCTGGGGGGAGGCGCAGGACACTGATGTTTCCAAATTCTTCAGCATTCCACTTCAGCCGGTTGTCTGTCCAGCCCTGGAATCCCAAAGGCATGTCAGCAGTGCACTCTGCAGCTGTCCAGGCTCCTGGCTCCCCCTACTTCCCTGAGAGAAGACTGAACAGGGTCTGAGAGCTGTGACACAAGAGGTTTGGGGAAGGCAGGTACAGAGTGTGGATTCAGGTCTGTCATGGACAGCTGTGCAGGATGCTCACTGCACAACTAAGGGAGCATTATTTCCACTGTGAGCATAGGAGATTTGTGTTTGTATTGTGGACTTTTGACAGACAGGAGGAGAATGTTTTCTAATAAAAACCAAGATAAAGTGGCAGTTTTCCAACATGTGAATCCTAATCCACTTGAAGGTGGCACTAGGGGCTGGTGAGGGCACTAGGTGGGGGAAGGACAGTTGGGCCTGGGGCTTCTCTGTAGGGAGGCACCAACCCCTCCTGGGGGACAGTGTCCAAGGCAGATGGGATCTCCAAGTGGAAGCAGCCTGGAACCCTGCATTCCCGCTATCCCACCAGCTCTGGGAGGGGCATTATTTTTTGTTTTTGAGATGGAGTCTTGCTCTGTCACCCAGGCTGGAGTGCAGTGGCACCATCTCAACTCACTGCAAGCTCCGCCTCCTGGGTTCACACCATTCTCCATTCTCCTGCCTCAGCCTCCCGAGTAGCTGGAACTACCAGCGCCCACCACCACGTACGGCTAATTTTTTGTATTTTTAGTAGAGACGGGGTTTCACCGTGTTAGCCAGGATGGTCTTGATCTCCTGACCTCGTGATCTGCCCGCCTCGACCTCCCAAAGTGCTGGGATTACAGGCATGAGCCACCGCGCCCAGCTGGGAGGGGCATTCTTACGTGCTCTATCCACACATTGGTAGTGAGGGTCTCCTCAACTTCTTTCTGTAATTAGACGGTAGGGCCATCCTTCAGGGCCATATCATTCTTTTGTCCACACACATTCACCCACTGTCTCTGTATTTTTTTTTTTTTTTTTTTTTTGAATCTTGTTCAATTGCCCAGGCTGGAGTGCAGTGGCACGATCTTGGCTCACTGCAACCTGCAACCTCTGCCTCTTTGGTTCAAGGAATTCTCCTGCCTCAGCCTCCCTAGTAGCTGGGATTACAGGTGCATGCCATCACACCCAGCTAATTTTTATATTTTTAGTAGAGACAGGGTTTCACTATGTTGGCCAGGCTGGTCTCGAACTCCTGACCTCAGGTAATCCGCCCACCTCGGCCTCCCAAGGTGCTGAGATTACAGGCGTAATCCACCACGCCCAGCCTACATTCACCCACTCTCAACTGGCACCCAGGGACACCATGGCATCTGGGCCCTGATCACTCGCAGTCAGGAGTGGGCGGGCAGCTAGGGAGCAGAGAGGACCGGTGGCCTCTGAAGTGTGTCACAGATGGGTCGTACTATGGGTGTGGATGGAGGACACCCCAGAGCTTACACTGGAGGGGCAGGACAGCAGCCTGTCAGGGCACAGAGCAGCTCCAGCACATTTCCCAGAAAGGGAGCCGCCATAGTCCAGGCCGGGGCTTCTGTATTCCTCCATGGCTATCCTGGTCCTGGGAAGCTGTCCCTGCTCTCCCTCCCAACCCAGCAGCAGAGGGCCTCTCACCAGGGAGATGAGGTTGGAGAGCGTGAGGGCCAGGGTGACGTCCACACTCTCCTCTTTGTGTGCCACGGGCCGGAGCTCCTTGTTGTAGCCCTTCTCTTGAAACAGGTGCCGGATCAGCCGCTCCTCCTCGTTCAGCCCCCAGATGCCTGGGGAGGGTCAGGGACAAGGACTGAATGGGGCCCTGGGCAGGGGACTCAGGAGGGAAGCTGCCCTGAGGTCCTGCTGGACCATGAGGTTGGGATGAGCAGGGAGGAATCCAACCACTCCCTGGGAGTGGGGACCCCAGAAGGCAGCCCCCCAGCAGGGAGAGATGGCAGAGTGGGAGTGGGGAGTGAGAGGAGGCCATACCGTGTGGGGCCTGGGTGGGCATCACGGGGGACCCCAGGGTGGGGAGGATGTCTACCCTTACCACACACCGCCAGGGTGGCCAGCAGCCCCAGTGTCAGCACTGGCCCCTCCATCCCATCCCTCTGACTGGGACCTGCATCTGCCCCTCCCATCTACAGGGCTGTGGAATGAGGGTGGGCGGGAGAGGGGACAGGTGTTGGGGGAGGAGGGAGTCAAAGGGAAGAGGCAGCCGGAAACACAATCTGACACCTCATGGTGGTGGGGGATGGGCCAGCCAGGGCAGGAGCCCAAGGACGTGAGGCAAAGATCCCAGGCTGGGACTCCCTGCAGCTCAGCGGCAGGGGGCGGAGCGAGGAGGACGGTGGGGGGGAGGGGGAGGGCGCTGAGCGGAGACGCTGGGCACTGGGGCCAGCGCTGGGCAGCCATGCAAGGGGGTGGGGCGACAGGCAGGCCAGCTGCTGCCACTTCTCAGGAGGCAGGAGATAGTCTCAGATGGGGACCTCACAGCCTCTCTCCAGCCTCTGTGACCCTTGCCAACTGCTTCCAGAGGCAGCCCTGCCTGGATCCCACCCCTGAGACTGAATGTCCACCCACCAGGTCCCGTCCCAAGAAAGCTCCAGAGTTGTTTCCATGTATTATAAATAACATTTATTAAAGCAGCTGTGATTCTCTGATTGTAAACCTGGGAAGACACGGAGGGCCCAGGACCCCCACCCCATCCCTCCCGCACACACCCAGCCACTATGGCAGCAACAGTTTGTGATTATGCTCCCGAGCCGCTCTCAGCTCCTGGGAGCAGTAGCTCCTCCCCAGGGGCTGGGGGCCCAGACATGGCTCAGGGTTGCCTGGCGGGGGGTACCTGAGGGTTGAGTGGGTGGTGCCCCTTCCTCTCCAGTCCAGGCCCCTGCCCTACATCCATCCAGTGTCCCTCGGGCTCCCCTTCTGCCAGGGCAGCCACGCGGAAGGCCTGCAGGGCCTGCACCAGCAGTCGGGGGAGGCTGCGAGCCAGTGTGGCCGGCTCCAGGCCCACCAGGCCACTGAAGGCCACATGCCGACCCCCCAAGCCTGCCCGCACCCAGGCTCTGAAGAGCCCGGTCAGTGTCTTGGAGCCCAGATCTGCCAGGACCTACAGAGGGAGGAGTGGGGATCAGGGGCCCTGAGTTGGAATCCCAGAGGTCACCCCCTCTGCCCCGGGCCCCAGAAACTCTCACCTAGACCCATGCTCCTTCCTTTCTCCCCGAAATCCTGCTCATTTCCCGCTCCTGTGGACACCCCCACCCACCCCTCTACTCACTCTCCCCACCACCATCCCCAGTGGCCTGGCTTACACTCCGCGGGCCCTACTCCCTCTACCTACCCCCAGAGCAGGGGCAGAGGCGACCCCAGGCTCCTGGGAGGGCATCAGGGCTGAGCTCTCTGCACCTTCCCTGGGCTAGGTCTCAGCCTTCCCAGGCCACCGTGAAGGAGTCTGGAAGCCTGGGGGCCTACCTCATGAAAGTTCATGGCCAGGTGCTCCGAGGGGACCTGCAGGATCCAGGCATGGGCCCCCTGCAGGGCAGCCAACTTCTGTCGCAGGGGCTCCAGCCCAGGGCAGCCTGGAGGAAGAGGAGAGGCCCCGGGAATGATGAACGGATGCGGTATGGAACTGGAGGTGGCACTCCCACCAGCACTTCAGGACGGCCTCCCAGGGGACACACTTAGCCTCTTATGATATAGATGGGGAAACTGAGGCTCGGGGAAGTTAAGCAGTAACACCAGGCAAAGCATCTCTGTTTGACACTGATGAGAGCTAAAACCACAAGTCCTCCAAAAGAGTCTTACGCTCTGTGGCGGGGAGGGGAGAGTGAGTTCACTCTGTTGCCCCACCGGGTAAGTGCTTCCCGGAGCTGCCTAAAAGCGCTTCCGACCTCATCCAGGCCCTCGACCTATCCCCTCCCGAAGGTCGGCAGAGGGCGTCATTACCATTGGCTTCTCCGCGCGGCTCCGGCCTCCACTTCGGGAATCGAGTGCCTGCAGCCCGCGATCCTGGGGAGGCACAGGGTTAGGGGACCTCCTCGGCCGGAGAAAGTGGCTCCGCCGCGCGGGTGGGGCCGGGCCAGGGCTGGGCTGGGCTGGAGGGCGCGGAGTACCTGAGTGCAGCCGCAGCTCGCGGGCAGGGTGCCGGGGAGACTCCTGGAGCGCTGGAGCGGGGCGAGCCAGGGCGGGGGCCAGGCGCCGCAGCCCCGGGCGCGGGCCGAGCAGCTCCTGGGCGTTCCGCAGCAGGCCCAGCAGCGTGTGCGCCAGCGAGCGCAGCTCTGCAGACCGTACAGGAGTCGGAGCGGCGGTCAGAGGCTGGCCAGGCCCCTTTCCCTCCGCCCCCCGTCCCGGTCCCGGTGAACAGAACTGACCGCATCGCCGCCGGCGCTGCAGGCACTGCTGGTGCGCCAAGCGCGCACAGGCGCCCTGGGACCCCGGGCACAGGCGGGCATAGAAGGCGCAGAGCCGGGCGGTGTCTGCCTGCAGTTCCTGGGGGGGTTCCCAGGCCAGAAGCTCCCTGCAGCTGGGCTCGCGGCTGGAGGAGGCTGCTGCGGGCGGGACAGTGGTCGGCTCACCCTCTGTTTGGGGCCCTAGCTCCCACACTCCTTCCCCGGAGGGAGACAGGCTTTGCCGAGGCAGAAGGGAGCTGGGAATGGGCACGGGCCGGGTGGAAACGGGCTTGTCCCACGGTTGTCCGTTGGGACACTGGGGACGGGGCATTGGAAAGAGAGTGCTCACAGCTCATCTGCTCCTGGAGCCAGTCCTTGAACACGGCCACGCGGGTGTAGACTCCGGGCTTCCCTGGCTCCCCGCAGCCGTCCCCCCAGGAGGTGACTCCGAACAGGACTTCTCTAGGGCGGGGGCCAGGCTCAGAACAGGTCAGGGGGCCTCCCGAGTCACCCTGCGGGGCCAAGAGAGAGGACGCTGCCTTCACCTGCCCCCTGTGACGCCCGCCTTACGCCTGGCAGGCGTGAGCTTGCCACTTGTATCCCTTTTAGCGATGAGGACAGAGAGGCTCAGAGAAGTCGAGTGACAGCCAGTTGTGGAAGGAAAGGAGGCCGTCGTGGCCCTGGGGAGGCTCAGCCGGCCTTTTCTCATCAGACTAGGTTCATACCTGGCACGAGTCAACGCCCCCCGCCAGGTACCCAGCGCAGAGCATGGTGCTGGGGCGCAGCCCGGGCCCCAGGGCCCTTCGGCAGGTGTCGGCGCTGAGCAGGGGAACACGGGCCTCTCTCACTGCCTCAGCCTCGGGCCCGTCTGCAGGGAAGGGGTGGAAGGCTCAGGTTTGGAGGGCAAGAGCTCTGCCTTGAGTGTCCCCTTCCCACCACCCCCCTTGATTCCTCCCCCTTTGAAAGAGCAGGCAGCATTTTTCCAAGGCAACCCGGCCTCCCCACACTCTATTACCTCGGACCTCCAATTCTTCCCACCACGCGCCGGCTCACCCACGCCCAGTACCTTCGAAGAGGGCCCCCCAGCCCGCGATGGCGCAGGCGGTGCCGGCAGGGGGCTCCTGGGGCTCCTGGGGCAGGCACACGGGGCGCGCCGGCCCCCCCGGGCTCACCGGCGTCCACAGCTGCACCAGGGCCAGGTCGTTGTGGAAGGTCTGCGGGTCAAACTGAGGAGGGGGAGGCGGCGCAGGGTCAAGGAGGCGCGAGTGGGGGTGCGGTTCCCAGCCTTGGGGGCCTGGAGACTGCCTTCTTACCTTGGGGTGGGGCAGGATGCGGTTCACTGGCACCTCCTCCGCTTGCTCCCCCCGGGGCCCCTCGGCCAGCGTCACAGTCCACAGAAGCTCATTCGGGGCGCTGCGGAACGAGCGGTGGCTGAGACGCAGGAAGGACAGGGGCACACGCAGCGGGCCCCTCGGAGACCCTACCCCTCCGCCCGCACGCAGGGCTTTCTCTACTTGGGGGCAGGGAGGGCGGGCCGGGGAGGGGTCCTGTCCCAGAGGGGCGAACGCGCCCGGCAGTGCCACCCCCTCCGGGCTGGCATCCTGGCGGGGCGCGCTCTGCCCCTTGAGACAGGGCAGCCTGGGGCCGGCAGCCGCCAGGGGGCAGCAGAGACCACCTTTCCCGCGCGTCGCCCGCCGGACAACCCGGCAGGTGCGGGGCCCAGAGCTGGGGACCCCGGCTGGGCAGGGCCTGGGGGCCCTACTTACCCCACAAAGCAGTGCGCTGCCGTGAGCACCCAGGACGCCGCTACCAGGACGCCGCCGCACAGAGGCTGCCCGCCGAGCTGCAGCCTCACCAGCCAGGGCCAGGCCCCGGGCGGCGCCGCGCTGCCCCCGACGATGCGGCCGTGGGCCCGCGTCACGTTGGCAGTGCTCGGGCGCCTCTCGCCGCACCGCCCTAGAAAGGGGCAAGGGGTGTCACGAGAGACATGTTCTGGCCATCCTCGCCTTCGAGGCCCACCGGGCTCTCAGGCCTGCCCTCTCCAGCCTTTCCAGCCTCACCTGGCTCAGGTGGGTCCTGGAGGGGAGCTTGAAGCCTGGGGCGCCCAGATCCTGCGGAGAAACAGGGCTTTGAGTCTTACTGCCGCCCTCTCGCCCGTCCTCACCCCAGGCTGGGCCGAGCCTCTTTCTCCCCGTCTCTCAGCCCTCCAGCCCACACAGGTTCTATTTCAACAACCATGAACTTCTCCTGGTCACCACAGGAGCACAGAGTGTTTCTGCCTCCCTGCCTTTGCACAGGCCATGCCCCAAGCCTAGCAAGTCCCTTCCACTTGGAGAGACGGACCTTCACAAATATCGTCTTGGTTGCGGCCCAACTCAGTCTCTGCCCCCAAGAGGGGAGTTAAGGCTGAAGGGAAGGGACAGGGGCAGCAGAATGGGCCCAGGGTAGGCAGCAAGTTCAGTGGGGCATGGGGGGCAGGGTGGGCACCTCGGCACTCGTGCGATCTGTGCTGGATCTCCATCGCCACTCGGTTTATTGCCCACTGGGCACTCCTCTGGGCTGCCTGCAACGCCTGAGTCCCCTGGGCCGACAGAACTGCTAGGACAGGGGGCACACAATCATGCGTGGTTGGGGAAGAGCCTCAGCCTTATCCTCCTGGTCCCAGCCCTGAGCCCTGCCTCAGGAGACCCACAAGCCTGGGACAAAATGAGGTGAGTGAGGCCCTGGGAAGCTGGGCCCAGCACTCAGAGCCCATGGTCCCAGGTTCTCAGCCCAAGATATCTCCCTAATTCAACTGAGTTGGACTGGAATCTTTGAAAGGTGCTTTTCCTTAACAATTTTTGTAAAGACACCACCCCAAAGATACATCACAGAACTCAGTCTTATTGACTGAAAGTAGCTGTGTTTGAGTGGCCTACCTTCGGCCAGGACAGCCAAGGGTGTGATACTGCCCCGGGCTGTTTCTCTCTGCTCCACGGGGCCTTCTCTCCATTCCTTTCGGCATGCTTGACAGCTCCCCTTCCCTCTCCCGCCACACCCCTCCTCTCCCACCTATATCTCCGTTCTTGGCCCCTTCTCGCAGCAGGGTGGGCAGAAGGGGCCAAAGGTCCTTATGAGTAGGGGTGACAAGCTCTTCTGTCCCCGTCCGCCCAGGGTCCCACTTCCTCTACGTTCTTCCCGACTCCGCGGCTCTCAGACCAGCCTGGGCTTACCTTGCAGGGTGCTGGGGGGCAGGCGCGTGTACAGTGGGTGCCCGTGAGCAAACCATGAACTTGGGAGAGGTAGCAGTAGCAGCACAGCCAGCAGCATGGTGACCAGGAGCTGGGGTGAGAGACCCCCGTCCTCTCTCCTCCTCGGAGTCCACCTTCCGGGTGCCTATCCTTTGGTGCCCGCCTTCTGCTGCCTTTCGGCCCCCAGGCACTGAATTCTTGTCCCTCAAATCATCTGACCCCGTTCTCTTACATCAAAATTACCCGCCTCCCTGGTCAGCCCTCACCTGGCCCTTAACTCCTAGGAGCCCACAGGGGAACGGGGCTGCGGGGTCTTTATAGAGGACAGCCTGGGGGAGGGGTGCATGGGAGGGTGGCCAAGACTGGGGGAGGAGTGGAGTAGTGGGCTTGACCTTCACCTTTCAAGTCTCATCATCCCAGCTCTGAGCCCCCCTTCTGTCAAAGGAGCCCTTGTTTCTGCGGCTCCATCAAAGGGGCCAAGACAGGGAAGAAGAGCTGACGGTTGGGCTGCAGGCCAGGCAGAGGGGGGCTGCTGGGTGGGGGCGGGCCCTGGCTTCAGGGCTGAGATGGGGGGGATCCCCATCTGCCTCTACCCCCTGAGGAGCTTACAGCTATGACGGGGGCAGATACTCCTGGAGGGAGGAGGGCAGGGGGTGTCTGGGGTTTCTCAGCAACCCCACCCCCTGAGGAAGCCCTGGAGCTCCCCACCCCTCTGCCCCTAATTGCTTGGCAGAGTCCCTCCCCAATGTGGCCATTTCTAAAGATGATCAAAGCAGCCTAATTAGCGCCGTAATTGCCGCACTGGGGGTGGTGGGGTGGGAAGGGGCAGAGGCAGGCAGCCGCAGGAGTGGTGCAGAAAGGGAGGCGGGAGATGAAAGGCCCACAGTGGCCCAGTTCCGAGAGGACAGGCCCTAGCAGCTTCTGACGCTCTCCCAGACCTCCTGGCCCTGCACGGTGCCCGCTCCGCCTGTCCGACATTGTTCCGTGACCCTGATCTGGCAGTGGAGATTCTTCTGGAGTCCTCTGGAGTCTCATGGGCAGGATCACGCAGCTCTTCTGGGATCGAGTTACCACCTGGGGTAGGGTAGTGCCCGTCTGCGCTGCCCAGGCACCCCAATTCATGTGAGGTGAACTGGTGAGAATATTCATCAGCAAATGCTATGACCCAGGGCTCTTTCCGCCTGGAGAGCCAGCTGTTCCACAGTCACCAGCACACCATGCTAAGGACCCCTTTCCCCAGTTACCACCGCACCTCACCGTGACAATACCTCTGCTTTGGGAATGCCCTGAAAATACTGTCTGCGGATGATTCTGGTGAGTGAATTTGGTGACGTTGGAAAGGACTCTGTTTACCAGAGTATCTATCCATCTATCCATCTTTTTATCAATGACCTCCAAAATCTTGGCAGACAGGGCATCAGCTCAACACAGCTTGAATTTTAGCATACACAGAGAAAGCATCCAAAGGAAGATCGCCTATGGTTCCCAGTAAGAGCCATCAAGGCAGGGGACCCAGGAACAGAGAAGGTGGTTGGGAAATCCTCACAGGCCTCTGGATGGAGAGGCCACAGCTTTGACAGAGCTTCTGCCCTGCAGGTTACCGCATCCAAGCTGAGGGGATAAGCAGATGGAGCCAGCCCCGCAGGCAGCTCTATGGACACTTCCCCTGGGGAATCCCTCCAGGAAGGTATGTCCTGCCCATTCTTGCCGAGTCATGCAGGCCAGGCCACAGCAAGCCCACACAGAGTCCCTGGGCCTCCCTCCTGCCTCTGGTCTTCAGGTGGGAGGCAGGGTGAGAATCCAGCCACTGCCAAAGAAAACGGAGGGACATTTCGGCGTGGACCGTACTGCTCAACCCCGTTCTGCTGTTCTCTGGTTCCTGTGCCCACAGCTGGGTCCCGAGCCCTCTCCTCTCTTCTGTATGGATCCACCCCCAAGTCTGGCTCAATTTTGTCCACTCCCACAGGTCACCTCTTAGAAAGCACATCAAAATCCCACCTCATAAAATTACTTTGTTTATTATTAAGTGTGCACTCACTCCCTGTCTGCTTCCTCCATTGGAATGTGATGGAGAGACTTCCAGGCCTCTATCCCGCAGTCTTGTTCTCTGTAACACAACCCTCTTCTATTTTCTTTATTTTTTTGTCTTTACATTTGAGGCAAGGTCTCACTCTGTCACCCAGGCTGGAGTGCAGTGGCACAAATCACGGCTCACTGCAGCCTCGACTTCCTGGGCTCAAGTGATCCTCCTGCCTCAGCCACCTGAGTAGCTGGGACCATAGGCATACACCACTACGCCGGCTAATTTTTAAATTTTTTGTAGAGGCAGCGTCTCCCTGTATTCCCCGGGCTGGTCTGGAACTCCAGGGTTCAAGTGATCTGCCCACCTCAGCCTCCCACGGTGCTGGGATTACAGGCATGAGCCACTGCACCTGGCCCCGGACTTCGTATTTTCTTTATTTATTCCTGTGTTGCAGGATGTTGAAGGGGGTTCTTGGCTGTTATAAGGGGCTCAGTCTCCCATAGTCTAGTTAAGAGGGTACCAGCAGTTGGCCCCAGACCTCCTGCCAGTGAGCAGCTCGATGCCAGGGACCTGCCGAAATGTATGCCATCCTCTATGGCTCCTTCCCCGAGTGAATAGGAAAACAGGACAGGGGCGAGGGGCCTTGGTGGAGCACAGCAGCCTCCCTTGCTTCCCCAGCCAAGCTGGAAAGGACAGGTGAGGTCTCAGGAGGAATCATGGAATTTGAATTCCTTGATCAGGAATCGAGGAAGCTGGTAAGAGGGAGAGGCTCGCATTTCAGTTCCCAGTTGGAGGGCAGGGCTTGTTTGTTGGGCTCCGTGCTGGCCCAGCATCTCATGCATGTGCTAAATGAATGAAAGATCAGCCCTGAAGACCAGATGTGGTGGCTCATGCTTGTAATCGCAGCACTCTGGGAGGCCGAAGCAGGCGGATCACTTGACGTCAGGAGTTTGAGACCGGCCCGGCCAACATGGTGAAACCCCATCTCTACTAAAAATATAAAAATTAACTGATGTGGTGGTGGGCGCCTATAACCCCAGCTACTTGGGAGGCTGAGGCATGAGAATTGCTTGAACCCAGGAGGCAGAGGTTGCAGTGAGCCGAGATTGCACCACGGCACTCCAGCCTGGGCAACAGGGGAAGACTCCGTATCAAAAAAAAAAAAAAAAAAAAAAAAAAAAAAAAAATCAGCGTTGGCCCCTCCCCTGCTCCAGGGCTACATCTCTTGCCTCCTGGCACTTCTATCTTAACCTGCCCAAAGCAGTGCTGGGATCTCCCCTCCCCTGCCAGCTCCCTGTCCATGCTCTGCTGCCCTTGCTCTCACGGCCGCACCTGGCCTGTCCAGTCCCGGTTGCCCTCCTCTGGTAGGCCCAGCAGTTCCTCTTCCTTCAAGTTTGGGTCAGGCAAAGAGAAGCAACATTTTCTGAGGGGAACTTAAGGCAGCTATTTCCAGATACAGGGAGAGAATGTGGCTCAGAGAGGTGCAGAGCTCGCCCCCACCCCTGCTGTCCCAGGCTCTCCCTCTTTCTTCTCCTTTTGGGCGGAGCCTGGTGACTGTCCAGGTTGCAGGAAGGATGCAAAGGTGACCAGGAAAGCCCCTAGTTCTCCTCTTCCTCCCTCACTGCCTCCACTCCAGGCTTCCATATCTCTTCCCTGGGAGGAGAGAGGTCCTGTCTGTCACTTGCAGGCCCTCTCTCTACCCCTGGGTGTCCTCCGAGGTCATAGCTGCTCCATCTCCATCCTTCCCACAGGCAGAGGCAAGCCTTGGTCTCAACCTTCCCATTTCAAGAAGAGACAGGGAAAGAACTTTGGACCTTGTCACTGTTATCTCTGGAAAACCCCAGCAGGCTCCTGTCAGGAGGTTCCAGTGGACTCAGGTGATACAAGTCAGTCCCACAGCCTCCTCAGAGGAGGAATGAAGGTGGGAAGGGCTGGGCCTCTGGAAATGGAAAGGAGAGAGCCGGCACCTGGAAGGGCACCTGCCTGTGATGCAGCATCTCTGCAGTTGTCCTTTGGGGAAGGGCCTTCCTCTTCCAAGCCCCTGAAGACCCCCCATGTCATGGAGGTGCTTGTCCTTCCCTCCTTCCCAAACTCCCCTGACCTCCTAGTCCTCTCCAATGAAGTGGACAAAAGCATAGTAGGAGCCTGGGCCACATGGTGAAACCCCATCTCTACAAAAAAAAAAAAAAAAAGAAAGAAAAAAATACAAACATTAGCTGGGCATGTTCACATGCACCTGTGGTCCCAGCTACTTCGGAGGCTGAGGTGGGAGGATCACTTGAGCCTGGGAGGTAGAGGTTGCAGTGAGCCAAGAATGTGCCACTGCACTGCAACATGGGAGACAGAGCAAGACATTGTCTCAAGAAAAAAAATAAATAAATAAAAAAGGCAGAGTGGGAGCAGCAGCTGAGCAGGCTGCCTTTGGGGCTCTATCCCTAGATGGGAGGGTGGGACCTGCAGCTAGGCCAGCTCTGCTGACCACAGTGCGGCTGCCCTATGAAGGTGCGAGGGGAGGTTGAGTTAGGCTCTTCTTGGCATGAGACCACAATTCAGAGCTTGGCATGGAGATTCAATTGCACCTCCATGTGACTTTGGGTGAATCTCTTCCTGTTATGGGCGGAATCATGTCCCTAAAAAGATATGTGGAAGTTCAACCAGTACTTCAGACTATGACCTTATTCAGAAATAGGGTTGCTGCTGTAGTAGTCAGTTAATAATGAGGTCACAATGGAGTTGGGTGGGCCCTTCATCCAATATGGCTGGTGTCCTTACAAGAAGACACGGAGACAGAGACACACAAGTGAATGTCATGTGACAAGAGAGGCGGAGGCTGGAGAGATGCAATTCAAGCTGGGGAATGCCAAGGACAGCTAGCAATAACTGGAGCTATGACAAGGGCATGGGACAGGTTCTCCTGGAGAGCCTTCAAGAGAGCAGGGCCCCACTGACCCCTTGTTTAGACTTCTAGCCTCCAAAACTGTGAAAGAATAAATTTCTGTCGTCTGAAGCCACCTGGTTTGTGGTAACCTGTAACAGCAGCCCTCGGAAACTAATAT